TCACATGGACGTGTGGGGCCCAGCCCGCGTCCGTGGACAGGGTCACGAGAGTTACTTCCTACTGGTCGTTGACGACTACTCGCGTTACACCACACTCTTCCCCTTGCGCAGCAAGGGTGAGGTCCCTGAGGTGTTGATCGACTGGATCCGCGGTGCTCGTCGCCAGCTTAGTGAGAGTTTCGGATCTGACCTTCCTGTTCTGCGTCTGCACTCAGACAGAGGCGGGGAGTTTTCCTCCGACCTCCTGAGAGCCTTCTGTCGTTCTGAGGGCATCCGCCAGACGTTCACGCTTCCGGCCTCCCCGCAGCAAAATGGGATTGCTGAGCGCCGCATTGGCATGGTCATGGATGTCGCTCGTACGCCCATGATCCATGCGGCTGCTCCCCATTTTCTGTGGCCGTTCGCGGTTCAGTACGCTGCGCATCAGATCAACCTTCAGCCTCATGTCTCCTTGCCGGAGACCACACCTACTCTGAGGTGGACGGGGAAGGTTGGCGATGCGTCCGCGTTCCGTGTCTGGGGATCTCGAGCTTTTGTCCGCGATACTATAGCGGACAAGCTGTCCTCCCGTGCCGTTCCTTGTGTCTTCCTTGGCTTCCCTCCTGACGCACCAGGGTGGCAGTTCTACCACCCCACCTCGCGTCGTGTTCTGTCATCTCAGGACGTCACGTTTGACGAGTCGGTATCTTACTACCGTCTCTTTCCCTACCGCACTGCCTCTCCCCCCCCCCCGCCGCTCTTCCTGGCACCAGGTACTCCCCCGGTAGACCCCCTCCCCCCCCAGGGTCCTGCCCCCTCAGGTGTGTCCCAGGTAGACCCTGCCGAGCCGGTCGAGGTAGCTGTCGACTCAGCTGCTGAGTCTGGGGGTGCTGAGCCTGCGGGTGCGGGGACTGGGGGTGCTGAGTCTGGGGGTGCTGAGTCTGGGCGTGCTGAGCCTGGGGGTGCTGAGCCTGGGCGTGTTGAGTCTGGAGGTGCTCTAGGTGTCCCGTCGCGGCGGGAGCCCCTCTCTCCACAGCGGCTTCGTGAGTGGTACTCTCGACGCTGTCGAGGTGCTGCTGGTGCTGGAGGTGCTACTGGAGCTACTGGAGGTGCTGCTGGAGCTACTGGTGCTGGAGGTGCTACTGGAGCTACTGGAGGTGCTGCTGGAGCTGCTGGAGTTGCTGCTGGTGCTGGAGGTGCTGGTGCTACTGGAGCTCCTGGAGGTGCTGCTGCTGCTGGAGGTGCTAATGCTGCTGGAGCTGCTGGAGCTACTGGAGGTGCTGGCGCTGCTGGAGGTGCTGCTGGTGCTGGTGCTGCTGGTGCTGGAGGTGCTGCTGCTGCTGGAGCTGCTGGAGGTGCTGCTGGCGCTGCTGGAGGTGCAGCTGGTGCTGGTGCTACTGCTGCTGGAGGTGCTGGAGGTGCTGCTGGGACTGGAGACCCTGGGGCTGAGGGTACCGGTTCTGTCTCTGCTGTCTCTGGAGGCGCTGCGCGGCCGCGGCCGTATTACGTTCCGCTCCTTCAGCAGGTTCTTAGCTCCCCGCCTTCTCCTGGTCCTCCTCCTTTCCTGAGTCCGCCGCCTTTCCAGTCCCAGTCGCAGTTGCAGCCGGCCTCTCCACTGCCCGGTCCTTACTGTGGACCGACTGGAGGTCTTACGGAGCGTCGTGAGCCTGAGTCTCGTCCTGTGTCGCCTGCGTCTCGTTCTGCGTCGCCTGTCCGTGCTGTTCGCGCTGGTCGTGTTTCGCGTCTGCGTCTCCCTCCTGTCCCAGGCACTCACTCTATGACACTGCGTCCTTCTACTGCTCCACAGCGTGTCCCTGTGCCGTCTCCTCCTGCGTCCTCTCTTCTTGCCTGTCCGGACCCGGAGTCTGACTCCCTTCGTGCTGCTAGTCCTACTGTTGCGCGCTTTCTAGCCACTGCTGTCACTGACCCTCTGTTTGAGTCCTCTGCTGCGTCTGCTCTTGTTGCTGAGCTCGCTGACTTTGCTGCCACCTGTCGCCTCGACTACGCCGCTAGTCTTGTTGCTGTGTCGGCGTCTGTGTCTGTCTGTCTTCCGTCCGTCGGGGGTGAGTGTGCTCTTGGCACGGACGTTCTTGAGGACAGACAGGAGGAGTTTGAGTGCTTTGCTGCTTCTGTACCTCATCTCGTGTCCATGCTGCTGGCCCCTGAGGGAGACCCGGATGCACTAGACATCCCGACCCCGCGCTCTTACGCAGAGGCGATTACGGGTCCCTACTCCTCTCAGTGGCAGGCAGCCATGGACGCAGAGATGGCTTCCTGGAAGTCCACAGGCACCTACGTAGACGAGGTTCCCCCACCTGGGGCGAACATCGTCAGTGGCATGTGGATCTTCAGGGTGAAGCGGCCACCGGGTTCTCCGCCTGCCTTCAAGGCGCGTTACGTTGCACGTGGCTTCAGTCAGCGACAGGGAGTTGACTTCTTTCAGACCTTCTCCCCTACCCCGAAGGTGACCACTCTTCGGGTACTGCTGCACGTTACTGCTCAGCGTGACTACGAGCTCCACTTGCTTGACTTCAGCACAGCCTTCCTACAGGGCAGCCTGCACGAGGAGATCTGGCTGCGCCGCCCACCTGGCTTCACTGGGTTGTTTCCTGCTAGTACCCAGTGGAGCCTCCGGCGGCCAGTCTATGTTCTCCGCCAGGCACCCCGTAAGTGGCACGACATACTCAGGACGACTCTTGCTTCTCTTGGTTTTGCTCCTTCTACTGCTGACCCTTCTCTGTTCTTACGCACTGACACTACTCTGCCGCCGTTCTACGTTCTCGTGTACGTAGACGACCTCGTCTTTGCTACTGCTGACACTGAGGCACTCGCCCACGTTAAGTCCGAGCTGCAGAAGAGACACACGTGCAAAGACCTGGGTGAGCTGACAAGCTATCTTGGCTTGTGGATCACCCGGGACAGAGCACAGCGCACCATTACCTTGACTCAGTCACACATGGTGCAGCAGGTCCTTCAGCGCTTCGGATTCACGTACTCCTCGCCACAGTCCACTCCTCTGCCTACCGGTCACTCGCTCTCAGCTTCACCTTCGGACGAGTCCGTAGAGCCGAGTGGCCCGTATCCAGAGCTTGTGGGCTGCCTCATGTACCTGATGACTTGCACACGACCTGACCTCGCATACCCTCTCAGCCTTCTGGCTCGCTACGTGGCTCCCGGCAGGCACCGAAAGGTGCACTGGGATGCTGCGAAGAGGGTGTTGCGATACTTGTGCAGTACATCGGGCATGGGGCTCGTGCTTGGAGGACGGGCTCGAGTTGTCCTCACTGGTCACGCTGACGCCTCCTGGGTTGACGACTTGGCTACGCAGCGGTCGTCACAGGGTTACACCTTCAGTCTTGGCTCCGGTTCTGTCTCTTGGCGGTCTACCCGCTCTTCTTCTGTTCTCAGCTCCAGTTGTGAGGCTGAGATCTACGCTGGGGCCATGGCTGCACAGGAGCTACGCTGGCTTACCTACCTGCTGACTGACTTGGGAGAGGCGCCTCGTTCTCCTCCAGTTCTGTACGTCGACAACAAGGCCATGCTGGAGCACAGAACGAAGCACATTGCTCTGCGCTACTTCCTTGCTCGAGAGCTGCAGCAGCGTGGCCAGCTTCGTCTTGCGTACGTGGCCTCTCAGGCCAACACTGCTGATGTTTTCACCAAGGCACTTCAGCCTTGCGATCATCAGCGTTTCTGCACTGTGTTAGGCCTTGTACCTATTGTGCCTCACTTGCTTTCTTCTTGACTCTGCCTGTACTGTACTCTTTATACATATACCTGCATGCTTACACTTGCTAGGTTGTATTCACTGTATTGTTTGTTCTCCTTTATATAACTCTGCATGTGAACTGGCCTTGTGGCCATTTGTTTGTGCTCAGACTGCGTGGTGATTTTGTGATCCACCCTGAGCTTGCTTTGTCTTTCTTGACTGGTCTTGTGACCTCTTGTTCTCCCCCACTTTGCCTATGGGGGTGTGTCAAACTTATATCTGCTATAGTCTGTTTAGGCTGTAATGGGGTAGTTCTTAGAGGGTACAACACTTTTGTGTTGTCTACTTGTACCCATCTCGTTTCTAGTTCATCCAATTCATTCTCAATTCTCACAGCCTCGTCTTCGAGGTATGGCCTCCCGTGCCCTTGTCTCGGGTCTACCCAGGTCCCTCCCTCCCCTTCCTCCGGGGCCTGCCCCCACCTGTGTTCCTTGTGTCGAGGCCAGACAGCGCGCCGCCCCTCACTCCTCCTCGTTCCCTCCGACTGAGGTGTTGGTGCAACCCTACGGTTTGCATTCGGCTTGTTGTCCGTGTGCGTGCATGCGTGTGTGCATGGAATGGTATGAGGGCATGAAATAATATATATTTCATGCTTACAATAGTGTGTGAATGATGAGGCATGATTTTGAATGTGTGTGTCGAGTCAATAGCGAGTTATCGTTAGTCGCGTGTCACGTCGTCGTTTGCGTGTCGTGTGCGGTTTTCTATTTTGTCGTGTGTGGAACGTTCGGCGTGGCGCAGGTGTGCGCATCAGACTTCCAAGAACTCAAGGAAGAATTTACCTTGAAGAACCAGAGCCTTGGTTTCAAGAATCAAGTGATTTCGAAGCTCTCAAAAAGGGTAACATTAGTGAGAATAGTTGCATTACTTTGTGTAGTGTAACATTTCTCTTGGTGTAGGCCCTTGTGGAGGGTAGTTTCGAGACCCTTCGTGGTTGGGGACAGTGTGGCACTGTTCCACATCACTGTACCTCAACTCTTGGGGTTTGTAGGAGCTGGGAGTCATTCCCAACTCGTAACTCTTCCTATCTTGTGTCGTCAATTCTTTATCAAATCGTGCAATCTAAATTGCTTGTAGACGACGTGAAGACGCTCCAGATCTAATTTCAATCAAGTCATTTGCAGCTGTGAGCAGAACGCTATCAACGTTTGAAGCCGCTGTGCAGAAATCCGTCTGTGCTCTCTATCTTTCGTTTTAGGCACATTCAAGCCTATTGTGACTATAACATGAGGCTCCTCTGCAGACTCTTCACATGGACGTGTGGGGCCCAGCCCGCGTCCGTGGACAGGGTCACGAGCGTTACTTCCTGCTGGTCGTTGACGACTACTCGCGTTACACCACAGTCTTCCCCTTGCGCAGCAAGGGTGAAGTCCCTGAGGTGTTGATCGACTGGATCCGCGGTGCTCGTCGCCAGCTCAGTGAGAGTTTCGGTTCAGACCTTCCTGTTCTGCGTCTGCACTCGGACAGAGGTGGGGAGTTTTCCTCCGACCTCCTGAGGGCCTTCTGTCGTTCGGAGGGCATCCGCCAGACGTTCACGCTTCCGGCCTCCCCGCAGCAAAATGGGATTGCTGAGCGCCGCATTGGCATGGTCATGGACGTCGCTCGTACGTCTATGATCCATGCGGCTGCTCCCCATTTTCTGTGGCCGTTCGCGGTTTAGTACGCTGCGCATCAGATCAACCTTCAGCCTCGTGTCTCCCTGCTGGAGACTACACCTACTCTGCGGTGGACGGGGAAGGTTGGCGATGCGTCCGCATTCCATGTCTGGGGATCTTGAGCTTTTGTCCGCGATACTACAGCGGACAAGCTGTCCTCCCGTGCCGTTCCCTGTGTCTTCCTTGGCTTCCCTCCTGACGCACCCGGGTGGCGGTTCTACCACCCCACCTCGCGTCGTGTTCTGTCCTCTCAGGACGTCACGTTTGACGAGTCGGTGTCGTACTACCGTCTCTTTCCCTACGGCACTGCCTCTCCCCCTCCCCCGCCGCTCTTCCTTGCCCCAAGTACTCCTCCGGTAGACCCCCTCCCCCCCCAGGGTCCTGCCCCCTCAGGTGTGTCCCAGGTAGACCCTGCCGAGCCGGTCGAGGTAGCTGTCGACTCAGGTGCTGCTAGGGGTGCTGAGCCTGCGGGTGCAGGGACTGGGGGTGCTGAGACTTGGGGTGCTGAGTCTGGGGGTGCTGAGTCTGGGCGTGCTGAGCCTGGGGGTGTGGAGCCTGAGGGTACTGTGTCTGGAGGTGCTGAGCCTGCGCGTGCTGAGTCTAGAGGTGCTCTAGGTGTCCCGTCGCGGCGGGAGCCCCTCTCTCCACAGCGGCTTCGTGAGTGGTACTCTCGGCGCTGTCGAGTTGCTGCTAGTGCTGGAGGTGCTACTGCTGCTGGAGATGCTGGAGGTGCTGCTGGTGCTGGAGGTGCTGCTGGAGCTACTGGAGGTGCTGCTGGTGCTGGAGGTGCTGGTGCTACTGGCGCTACTAGAGGTGCTGCTGCTGCTGGAGCTGCTGGAGGTGCTGCTGATGCTGGCGGTGCTGCTGGAGCTACTGGAGGTGCTGGCGCTGCTAGAGGTGCTGCTGGTGCTGGAGCTGCTGGAGGTGCTGCTGGTGCTGGTGCTGCTGGTGCTGGAGCTGCTGGAGCTGCTGGAGCTGCTGGAGGTGCTGCTGGGACTGGAGACCCTGGGGCTGAGGGTACCGGTTCTGTCTCTGCTGTTTCTGGAGGCGCTGCGCGGCCGCGGCCGTACTACGTTCCGCTCCTTCAGCAGGTTCTTGGCTCCCCGCCTTCTCCTGGTCCTCCTCCTCCTTTCCTGAGTCCACCGCCTGTCCAGTCCCAGTCGCAGTTGCAGCCGGCCTCTCCACTGCCCGGTCCTTCTCCTTACTCTGGACCGACTAGAGGTCTTACGGAGCGTCGTGAGCTTGAGTCTCGTCCTGTGTCGCCTGCGTCACGTTCTGCGTCGCCTGTCCGTACTGTTCGCGCTGGTCGTGTTTCGCGTCCGCGTCTCCATCCTGTCCCAGGCACTCACTCTATGACACTGCGTCCTTCTACTGCTCCACAGCGTGTCCCTCTGCCGTCTCCTCCTGCGTCCTCTCTTCCTGATGGTCCGGACCCGGAGTCTGACTCCCTTCGGGCTGCTAGTCCTACTGTGACGCGCTTTCTGGCCACTGCTGTCACTGACCCTCTGTTTGAGTCCTCTACTGCGTCTGCTCTTATTACTGAGCTTGTTGACTTTGCTGCAGCCTGTCGCCTAGACTACGCCACTAGTCTTGTTGCTGAGTCTGCGTCTGTGTCTGTCTGTCCTCCGTCCGTCGGGGGTGAGTGTGCTCTTGGCATGGACGTTCTTGAGGACAGACAGGAGGAGTTTGAGTGCTTTGCTGCTTCTGTACCTCATCTCGTGTCCATGCTGCTGACCCCTGAGGGAGACCCGGATGCACTAGACATCCCTATCAGAAAAGGAGTAACCCTGTGACGACCGCTGAGTAGCCTGGTCGTCAACCCAAGAAGCGTCTGAGTGCCCAGTGAGAACAACTGAGCGCCTCCCTCCAAGCACGAGCCCCATGCCCGATGTACTGCACAAGTAGCGCAATACCCTCTTTGCAGCATCCCAGTGCACCTTTCGGTGTCAGCCAGGAGCCACATAGCGGGCCAGAAGGCCAAGAGGGTATGCTAGGTCAGGACGAGTGCAAGTCATCAGGTACATGAGGCAACCAACTAGCTCTGGGTAAGGACCACTCAGCTCTACGGACTCATCCGAAGGCAGAGCTGAGAGCGAGTGACCTATAGCCAGAGGAGTGGCCTGTGCTGAGGACCAGGTGAAGCCGAAGCACTGAAGGACCTGCTGCACCATGTGTGACTGAGTCAGTGTGATGGTGCGGCGTGCTCTGTCCCGGGTGATCCGCAAGCCAAGATAGCTTGTCAGCTCACCCAGGTCTGCGCACGTGTGTCTCTTCTGCAGCTCCGACTTCACGTGGGCGAGAGCCTCAGTGTCAGCAGTGGCAAAGACCAAGTTGTCGACGTACACGAGGATGTAGAACGGCAGCAGTGAAGTGTCGGTGCGCAGAAACAGCGACGGGTCGGCAGTAGAAGACGAGAACCCAAGAGCTGCAAGTGTAGTCCTCAGTGTGTCGTGCCACTCACGTGGAGCCTGGCGGAGACCGTAGACCGGCCGCCGGAGGCTCCACTGGGTACCAGGAGGAAACGACCCAGTGAAGCCAGGAGGGCGGCGCAGCCAGATCTCCTCGTGCAGGCTGCCCTGCAAGAAAGCTGTGCTGAAGTCAAGAGAGTGAAGCTCGTAGTCACGCTGAGCGGCAACGTGCAGGAGCACCCGAAGAGTGGTCATCTTCGGGGTGGGGGAGAAGGTCTGAAAGAAGTCTACTCCCTCTCGCTGACTGAAGCCTCGAGCAACGTACCGAGCCTTGAAGACAGGCGGAGAACCTGGCGGCCGCTTCACCCTGAAAATCCACATGCCACTGACGATGTTCGCCCCAGGAGGGGGATCCTCGTCGACGTAAGTGCCAGTGGACTTCCAGGATGCCATCTCTGCATCCATGGCTGTCTGCCACTGAGAGGAGTACTCACCCGCGATCGCCTCAGTGTAAGAGCGCGGGGTCGGGATGTCTGGAGCATCCGGGTCTCCCTCAGGTGCAATCAGCATGGACACGAGATGAGGTACAGCGGCGGCAAAGCACTCAAACTCCTCCTGCCTGTCCTCAAGGACGTCCGTGCCAAGAGCACACTCACCCCCGACGGACGGAGGACAGACAGACTCAGACTCAGCAACAAGACTGGCAGCGTAGTCTAGTCTACAGTGAGCAGCAAAATCAACAAGCTCAGTAACCAAGACAGACGCAGCAGCTGACTCAAAGGAAGGGTCAGTGACAACTGTGGCCAGGAGACGCGTGACAGTAGGACTAGCAGCACGAAGAGAGTCAGACTCTGGGTCAGGAAGGGCAGGAAGGGAGGACGCAGGAGGAGAAGGCAGAGGGACACGCTGTGGAGCAGTGGAAAGACGAAGCAACATCTGGTGAGTGCCGGGGACAGCAGGAGGACGCTGACGCGGGACACGACGACCAGGGCGAGCAGCATGAACAGGTGACGCAGAACGAGACTCAGGCGACACAGGACGAGACTCAGGCGACACAGGACGAGACTCAGGCTCACGACGCTCCGTAAGACCTCCTGTCGGACCAGTGTAGGGAGAAGGACCAGGAAGAGGCGAGGTGGGCTGTAACTGTGACTGCAACTGGACAGGCGAACGACACTCTAAGGAGGGAGCTGGACAAGGAGGAGGCGGCTGACCAAGAACCTGCTGAAGGAGCGGAACGAAGTACGGCCGCGGCCGTGACGTGCCCCCAGAACCAGCAGAGACAGCACCAGAACCCCCAGCAGCAGCTCCAACTCCCGTAGCACCAGGAGCACCTCCAGGAGTGTCAACTCCAGTACCTCCAGTAGCACCAGCTCCAGCAGCACCACCAGTCCCAGGACCAGAAGCACCACGAGGAGCTCCAGCAGCTCCAGTACCTCCAGCAGCACCGGCAGCCACTCCAGGAACTCCAGTAGCACCAGCCGCACCTCCAGTAGGACCAGTACTAGCAGAACCTCCAGCAGCTCCAGTACCTCCAGCAGCACCAGCAGTACCGCCAGCAACTCCAGTACCTGCAGCAGCACCAGCAGCACCGCCAGCAACTCCAGGACCTCCAGCAGCACCAGCAGCACCTCCAGTAGCAGCCGGGCCTCCAGCAGGCTGCAACTCAAAACTAGGAGCTCCACTCCGGAGGCTGCAGCGCCGAGAGTACCACTCACGCAACTGCTGCGAAGAGGGAGCACCACCAGGGTCAACACCCCCAGGCTTAGTACCCCAAGGCTCAGCACCCCCAGACGCAGCACCCCCAGGCTCAGCACCCCCAGACTCAGCACCCCCAGTCGCAGCACCCCCAGGCTCAGCACCCCCAGTCGCAGCACCCCCAGGCTCAGTACCCCCAGTCTCAGTACCCCCAGTCTCAGTACCCCCAGGCTCAGTACCCCGCTTAGGACCAGAGTCAACAGCTACCTCGACAGGCTCGACTGCGTCTACCTGGGAAACACCTGAGGGAGCAGGACCCTGGGGAGGGAGGGGGTCTACCGGAGGGGCACCCGGGGTGAGGAAGAGATGCGGGGGAGGGAGCGGAGCAGTGCGGTAGGGGAACAGACGGTAGAAGGGTACCGACTCGTCCAAAGTGACGTCCTGAGAGGGGAAGTCACGGCGCGAGGTTGGGTGGTGAAACCGCCAACCAGGCGCGTCGGGGACAAAGCCAAGGAAGACACAAGGCACAGCGCGGGCAGAGCTTGTCCGCAGTGGTATCGCGGACAAAGGCACGAGCATCCCAGACCCAGAAACGTGACGCATCGCCAACCTGCCCCGTCCACAGCAGTGTGGGCGAGGTCTCCGGAGCGGAGACACGGGGCCAGAGGTTGAGCTGATGCGCAGCGTACTGGACTGCAAACGGCCACAGGAAATGGGGGGTAGCCGCATGGATCAAGGAGGTACGAGCGATCTCCATGACCAAGCCAGTGCGGCGCTCAGCAACCCCATTCTGCTGTGGAGAGGCCGGAAGCGTGAACGTCTGGCGGATGCCATGCTCCGCACAGTAGGCTGCCAAGAGGTCGGAGGAAAACTCACCACCTCGGTCAGAGTGCAGACGCAGGACGGGAAAGTCCGACTGGAACCGGTCGCGGAGCTGGAGGCGAGCAGCACGGATCCAAGGGATCAAAACATCAGGGACCTCACCCTTGGTGCACAAGGGGAAGACCGTGGTGTAGCGTGTGTAGTCGTCGACAACCAGCAGGAAGTACCGCTCGTGGTCCTGTCCACGGACGCGGGCTGGGCCCCACACGTCCAGGTGGAGAGTCTGCAGAGGAGCCTCTGTGGGAGGGAACGAGGAGGAGTGAGGAGCGGCGCGCTACCGCCCCTCGACGCAGGGAAGAGAGGGAGGAGCAGGCGAGGGCGGGAGGGGAGGGAGAACCCTAGGTGCGACAGGGAGCGACACGAGCAGGGGGCCGACAGCGGACCTGACGCAGACGCAGACGCAGCTACCTGAGGGGACTCAGTGGTCAGTGTGTACAGGTCCGACCCCGGCTGCCGAGTGAAGGTAGCTAGGTGGCGTCCTGTCCTAGCACACGTACAGTGGGTCACACGCTCATAGGCAGGGGTGAACTGGTGAACACCCCCATCCTGAAGAGCAGAGCCCGCCACCAAGTTCGTAGAGAACGAGGGGAGGTAAAGACCCGACAGGGTGCCGGACGGGACCGCAGGACAAGGGAGGACAGTGGAGGAGGTCGCAAGGACCGGGCCCCCAGAGGGGTCAGTGAGGGAGACAGCAACCGGCCGAACTAGCTGCTCAAGGGCAGTGCGGTCACGGAAGAAGCAGCGGGAAGTACCCGAGTCGAGTGTGAAGGTGTGCAGTGCCTCAGTAGACGCAGTACCAGCAAGCGTAGACGCACTAGCACCGCCCGCGCCCCAGCCCGTCGCCCCAGCCCGCGCCCCAGCCCGTTGCCCTAGCCAGCGCCCTAGCTACGTCGCCCCAGCCCGCGACCTAACCCGTCGCCCTTGCCCGCAACCTAACCCGCGCCCTCGCCCTAGCCCTAGCCCGCGCCCTAGGCCGCGCCCTCGCCCTAGGTCGCAACCTCGCCCTTAGCAGCGCCCTAGCCCTAGGCCGCGCCCTGACCTGAGCCGCGCTCTGCCCTAGGCCGCGCCCTGCCCTACCCGGGCCCTCGCCCTTAGCCCGCGCCCCTGCTCTAACCCTAACCCTAGCCCGAATTGATCAGGTGCCCTCACCCTCGCTACCCGAGTGCGCCCCACTCTGCCCAACCGTTGGCCCCTCCTCTTAACCTGTTCCCTGGCCCCACGCCATTCGTACTCCGGCTGGCTTCCGTTTCAGCGGCTGGCAGCCACTCTTCCCACCCGTATCGCAACCTAGGACCGGTTAGTGGTATGTGATGCTATCATTTGCATTCACGTCTGTCAGCCTCCCATCATATGTTCGTGCGTTGCATGCGTGGTGTGTACGTGCGTAAGAATTTGTGTTTGGCATGGTTTGGATTTTCTGAGTGTGTGTGAATTTTATTTGCCTTGGGCAGATATCTGAAGTGACTTCTCTGCTCAAGAGCTTTCCGACGAACCAAGAATCACCGCGATCGAAGCTAGAACAAGAAAGATATGATCGTTCGAAGTTTTTGATTCTGATGCAGCGACTATGGGAATTTGCGGGTTGACTCAATATGGGGTGCAGACTTTTGGGGTTGGGGAAATTCGTCACTCTACTGTAGATTGATGCCAAGTGGTTGGGAGAAGCCAATACAGGTTGGCAAGTGTGGCCAAGTTGGGTGAGGTGGATGGCATGAGTTGGGAAAGTGACAAATGTCAAAGTTGGGGTGCCTATAGAGGGGGGAATTGTGTGGTATGGGGTTTCCTTGGTTGGGGAATCCCTTGGG